AGTGCTCGCAATCGCATCCAAAGCTCACAAGTTTGTGTGGCTGAATATCTTCAGTAGGACGGAATCTATCTGCGATATACACTTCACTTGGAAATTTGAAAAAAGGGTGTGAGATTAGGAATGCACAGTGTGACAGTCCAGGTGCTGTGGTTGACTCTACAAATCCGCCGCCTGCCGGGCTTAGCAGAAAATCTTGCCTAACGCCACACAACGACTTGCTGGTCTTCAGTTTCCGATATCGTCTATCTTGCCCCCCAGAGAAGGCATTCAACTTCCCATGGAACTTGAGTTGAGACCCAGATATATCGATAGAGCTTCAAACGCTGATTACAAATATGGAAACTAAAACTGCAAAATGAACCTGCCAAGGAAGTTGTGAGCAGTCAAAGTTGGCTGGAAGTAAAGCATTACATATAAATAGATCGACGAGCCTCAAATTCGCCGTGGAGTAGTGTTAATGCTCCTGAAATTTGCAGTCCAAGGGGGACTTATGACTTGCGGGTGAAGCATTATTCCTATTTCACGGGGACTATGAATGCTTGCGCGGTTCACATGTAACGCTGTCCTTCCATCGATTTGCCAGCTTACACCCTCCTGGGCAGGATTCATTTTGCAGTTTTAACTTCCATATTTGTAATCAGCGTTTGAAGCTCTATCGATATATCTGGGTCTCATTTCAAAGTTCCATGGGAAGTTTGAATGCCTTTCCCTGAATAGCGTGATTGCTCTGTAGTACTTCTGTAGCCCTTTGAGGGAAAGCCTTGATTCATAACGGCTCAATAATTGATAGTGTGCGAAGAGATAATCAACTACATGCTATATACCAAAGACTTACTTGTTGGGATAATGGGCTTTTTTCCAGTGTCCGACGTACTTTTTCCTCCATTGTCCTTGGCGCTGTTTTGTTGTCAAATGATTTTGTATAAAACACGCCAGTATATGGCGATTCAACACCTCTATCTATCATTCGCTGAGCATCGCTGGCCATTTTAGAATTCCAATCCTGTGAGCAGAACATGATTTTACATAAGAACTAAGAACTCACTGACGTGTTCTGCTAAATTTGAAAAAGTAAAAATAAGGCAATGCGCCTGAACTGATCTAATACCTAGTGGCATGCCAATGCACACTATAACTTGTTGTTTCCTTCTTCTCATTTAGGCAAGATAGCTTACTACACTGCGACGCATAATTATAGTTCCACCTACAAATTTCCCAAAAACTTGTATATGAAGATGTTTTCGAAAAAGGCTCTAGTGAGGAATTGTGACACATATAAACGCGAATCTGAATATAACACGGAAATCCAGTTTGAGAAAGCAACAATTTTTTATTTTCATTTTTCTGAAAATACTCGCTCTGCCTATGGCGCAAAATCATAGTTCCACCACATGTTTCTCCGCTGCATTTTATTTTTACCCAATCAAATTTTGAAATTATTACCCCTCAAGGTCCTTAGCTTATAGCAAAGGCGAAACCGCTGCCAGAATTCCGTAAAAGGAAAATCCTAGCAAAAGAGGCGCATTAATTGCCGAAGTGTCAGTTCACGCTGAAATTGGTCGGGGTCACTTCATAACGAACAATTTCGTCGGGAATCCTACAGTATATGATATTGTAAGGAACCCTGATTACTATCTGACCGAGATAAGCGCCGTATCATAAGAAAATAATACAACTTTATCAAGCTGAGTACGGAAATCAAAACTTCTTCAAATTGTACGCAGTTCAACGTGTTTCCCAAAGTCCTTATGATAGTCCATGTCTGAAAAATAAGAAATCTTATTCTTGTGAAAAAAATCCTAGAGAAAAACGAGCCATTTTCCTTGGGAAATGGTGACACTTTTTTAGGTGTGATATTTTGTAGTCTTTGACCATACCTCTGATATTTTTCTTCTCCACACGTGTTCACTACAAAGCAAAAACCGATGTGAGAAAGAAAAACGTTAAGAGAAAGAAAGACGCAAATCAAAAATCACAAATGAAAGAAGTGTCACCGCTTCACTCGACTTGGCGAAATTTTCCAAGGAAAATGGCTCGTTTTTCTCTATGACTTCTTTTCACAGAATCATATTTCTTATTTTCCAGACATGGACTACAATGAGGGTTTTGGGAGGCACGTTAAAGGCACAACCCAGGCAGAGATCGTGTGAAGCCTTCCTTCTGTCTGTAGTATAGACTCCAGAGGGCAATCATAAATAACAAATTGTTTGGCGTTCTCGTGCACGGAAACCACCGATAAGAGCATTTGGGCCTCGTAAAGTATGCTGCCTCAAGCTGCAGATTTTTTCTTCCTTATCAGGCTGTTGTCTGGCGCTCTCTCATCTGTAGCGCTCTCTCGCCTCATACTCTCCTCTCCACGCTTAGTCTCTCATTCCCTTAGCACAGCCGATTAGGAAGGTGGAAGTGAGCCCTTAAGCTAAGCGTTTTTGACGGATTCTTTTCCTTTTTCCTTTCCTGCCGGATCCTCATTCTTTCACTAACAGTATCGCACATTCGAGTACTCAAGAGAGACACATTTGTGATGCCTAGGGCATGCAGTTTTAAACTGCGTACAATGTGTCATTAACTTTTGAAGAAGTTTTGATTTCCACAATCGGCTTGATGAAGTTGTATTATTTTCTTATGATATGGCGCTCATCTCGGTCAAATATTAATCGGTGTCCCTTACAATATCATAACTGTAGGATTCCCGACGAAATTGTCCGCCACAAGGTGACCCTGACCAATTTTCAGCGTGAACTGACTTTTCGGCAATTAATGCGCCTCTTTTGCTAGGATTTTCTTTCTTGGACGGGATTGTATCAGCGGTTTCGCTTTTGCAGTGAACTATGTGACCTCTAGGGAGAACAATCTCAAAATTTGATTCGATAAAAATAAAGTGCAGC